CCCACCACCACAACCACCACTACTACCACCCACCACCCCCACCTACACAACCACCACTACTACCACCCACCACCACCACACACACCACCACACTAACACCCACCACCACCACCCACACCACCACTACCACCACCCACCACCACCACCTCACACCACCACTACTACCACCCCACAACCACCACCACACCACCACTACTACCTACCCACACCAACCACCAACACACCACCACACTTACCACCCACCACCACCAACCACCACCACTACTACCACCCACCACCACCCCAAAACACACCACCAACTACTCCACCCACCACCACCCACACACCAACCACTTACAACCACCACACCCACCACCAACACACCACCACTACTACCTACCCCCTCCACCACAACAAGCGTCTAGCATTATACAACCCCCCCATGCAGAAATAAACAAACTTACTCTAAAAATCCTTGGCCCCTCGTGTTTACACTCGTTGTTTTACACTCGTTGTTACACTCGTTTGGTACACTCAGTTGTTTAACACTCGTTGTTTACCCTAACGACTATCACACTATAGGCAACGTCTGGTTCAGCTCACAACCATAAAGAACCCAGGTTCAATCCCCTGGTTGGACAGACGTATAACCAAGCCTCCTCACACAGTACTGGTGTGACCTAACAATAACTAGGACTTGTGTTATGGAATGTTATGGGTGGCATCCTGGGGGAGGACCTTGAGGGTTTCTTATCGGCAAGCCCGCTTGGACAGATTAAATTTAGATAGATTTTGCCCACCTTAGTGGCAAGGCTATTGTGCACCCCATATCCACCAGTGGATGTAGTTGCAAGAGCATATGGATACACAAATGGCCCAGGAACTAGACCCCAAGATGGTTTAACCAGGTATAACATAAGGATTTACATCTTCCCCCCCAGTTCCACTTATCTGTTACATAGCAAATTTAGGAAATTGCTTATCAGGTAGCTTACCTTTCATTAATAAGGTATCTTGACATACCACTAGGTTTTATACTATCTCTGTTATTTCCTAGTAACTGGACAGTTCATGCACAGTGGGTTCCAAGATAGTGACCCACGGGGTTGGCCACATACATTCCATTCGGTTTGATCATCACTGGGTGTCTCCTAAACTGCCAAAATACATGTAACCAAGGCCTAAGGCCTGGCCCATACAACATCAGTAGTACTTGTAACCAAGCCCTAAGCCTGCCACTACAACATCAGTCAGTACTTGTAACCAAGGCCTAAGCCTGCCACTACAACATCAGTCAGTACTCGTAACCAAGCCTAAGTCTGTCCTCACTACAACATCATCAGTACTTTGTAACCAACCGAAGCCTGGCCACTACAACATCAGTCAGTACTTGTAACCAAGGCCTAACCTGCCACTTACAACATCAGTCCTACTTGTAACCAAGTCCTAAGCCTGGCCACTACAACATCATCAGTACTTGTAACGCAAGCCTAAGTCTGGCCACTACAACATCAGTCAGTACTTGTAACCAAGCCTAAGCCTGGCCACTACAACATCAGTCAGTACTTGTAACCAAGCCTAAGCCTGGCCACTACAACATCAGTCAGTACTTGTAACCAAGCCTAAGCCTGGCCACTACAACATCAGTCAGTACTTGTAACCAAGCCTAAGCCTGGCCACTACAACATCAGTGTTCACATTGCAAGTTGCTCCATAAACATACTTATCTACGTTCATGTTATCATAGTGGGTTATAGATCTACTCAGGCTTATAACTGCATTCCTATAACAATAATTTTCATTATTTACTTCTCTCCTAATATTATTCCTAATGCTAGACACAGTTATACCAAAGTTATATTCTACATTCTCCTTCTCACCTAATTTGTGGGAAATGCTCAGTATAACAAGCGACTTTCTATATAGTAGTATGTCACTGATGTCAGTTATGGTCTGTATACCTTGTGCATTTACTGGTATACCTTGTACATGTACTGGTATACCTTGTACATGTACTGGTATACCTTGTGTATGTACTGGTATACCTTGTACATGTACTGGTATACCTTGTACATGTACTGGTATACCTTGTACATGTACTGGTATACCTTGTACATGTACTGGTATACCTTGTACATGTACTGGTATACCTTGTACATGTACAGGTATACCTTGTACATGTACATGGTATAACCTTGTACATGTACTGGTATACCTTGTACATGTACTGGTATACCTTGTACATGTACTGGTATAACCTTGTACATGTACTGGTATACCTTGTACATGTACTGGTATACCTTGTACATGTACTGGTATACCTTGTACATGTACTGGTATACCTTGCACATGTACTTGTGGAAATAAAGATATATTATTAGCTTGTACCCAGCTGTACGCTCAATGAGGTCGTCAGCATCTCTCGTTTTCGCTCTAAGTGGAGCTTTATCAAGACGTCGTAGATCTCTACAAAGAGCAAAACGTTGCTCTAAAAGAAGCATGTTTCGCATCCTACGTCTCTCCTTTACTGTCGATATTACGCCATCTGGAGGCAAGGTCACCAGTGATGAAAGTGCTATGGGAATGAGGCATAAAAATGGTCGCTCGACCATGTTTGTGGTCTGGGTCAGGGCGCATTCTACCACACATCAAAACAAATATTATTATTAATTATTACTAGTAATCATTATTAGTTGTTGTTAATGCTGTTCTTATTAACAAAACTCTTCCTTACATCTACCTTAGTTACTCTCTGAACTATTGAGAAAACGGGTAAGAAAAGCGTAAAAGAAAACGACTTTGACCCGGCCGAGTTAAGGGGTAACACTGGTAAATAGCTGGAACAATGACATTATATCTCGTGACCTTAATCTTGAATATAATGAGACATTCCTGCTTTCTCGTGAAGAATGGAACAATACAAATCGATCCACCATTACCTTAAGTCTTTCCTTAACCGCCATTGTTATCACACGTTATTATAAGTGAGTGTTCACGTTTTGTATTATGGTCTGTTTCTCAGCATTTTATACACACAACATACACACACACACACACACACACACACACACACACACACACACATCACAACACACACACACACACACACAGGGAGTGGGTGTCTCAGTACATATATTCAGAGAGGTGTATGTCTCTCAGTGTGTATTATTCACCTAGAGGTGTATGTTTTTAGGTGTATATACACCCAGGGATGAATGTCTCATTGAATATACACCAAGAGATATAAATCTCTCAGTATAAATAAGTTTATTCAGGTATACACAAATACAGTTACATATATCATACATAGCAGCATGTGTGTAAAAAAACCTGGGATAACCCCCCCCCCCAAAAAAAAAAAAAACTCAAAGTGACTTATTTCCATTGATAGATTGCTTTAAAACGTATTTTAGATAGACTTAGATAGACTTAGTAATCAAAATACCTCTATCCATCAAATGTCTCAATAACACTGAATAGCAAAACGTTGTCTGAATAAAAAGATATTCTTTAATCTGACTTCAATTTGCTTTAATAATTTAGATATATCGTGGCTCAGTTGGTAGCGGTCATCTCTGCGGGACCGGAGTTCAATTCTCAGACGAGTGGAAATGTTGGGCGTGTTTCCTTGAACCTGGTGCCCGTGTTCACCTGGTGTGAGTGAACATTCTGGGGGAAGACTGAAGGATCCCAATTGTAGTAAGCCTGTCTCATGACGCGGCTTTACTGGGTTACCCTGGGTTACTAACCCAGTTGTTCCTACTGCTGTTGTTACTGCTTTATCTGCTGCTGCTGCTTTTATTCTGCTGCTCCGTTCTCCAGGTTCTCTCCTATATATGATTGTAGGCCTCACTTTCCATGCTCTCAGCCTAAGGCATTTTTGTAAATCAAACCCGACGATCGAACATTTTATAAATTTGGGTGTTTCAAAGAGATGGACCCGATCGTGAAATATACTGCTTAGAAATTGGGCCCATATTCTGAAACACCCTGTATACCTTCCGACAGCGGTGACTGAGTATACCACACATTATCTCCCTGGCTGACAGCACGGATGACCTCATACACGAACAGGCAGTATGAGAGCTTCAGAGATGTATTAGTATGGATGATGAATTCTTCAGTTCAAGTTGTATTGAGGTGGGTAGGTAAGACACAAAGGCAACAGTTAGGCAACTTTATTCCGAAACGTTTCGCCTACACAGTAGGCTTCTTCAGTCGAATACAGAAAGTAGGCAGGAACAGTAGAGATGTGAAGACGATGTAATCAGTCCATCACCCTTGAAGTCGTAGAATTTGAGGTTGTCAGTCCCTCAGCCTGGAGAGTTCAGTTCCATAGTCAGGAACTATCCTGTCGGTATTTTATACCATTTTGATGTATTGAGGTGGTATGGTGTGACAATGTAAGGGTTAGAAGTTCAATATTCCGGCTAAATTTTACCACCAGGAGGCCTGGTCACAGACCGGGCCGCGGGGGCATTGACCCCCGAAACTCTCTCCAGGTAAACTCCAGGTATAGTTGGCTGAACACAGTCCCACAGTCTGTTACACACAGTCCTACAGCCAGTTACACAGTCTCACAGCCTGTTATAGTATCATAACCTGTTACACAGCCTCACAGTCTGTTAAACACAGCCTCACAGCTAAGTAATCTGTGCCTCTCTGCACAAATACCACTGGAAATATGACCATACTGGTTATAAATGACCATAATTTTTAAAGGGGTGGACCGGTAAGCCAGCGGAAGGCCTCGGTCAGATGACCAAAAGCTCCAAAGGCGGGTCATCATCTGACTAAGACCCGCGTCAGGAAACATTTGTCCTGTTTCCTGACGAACCGTACCTAACCTAACCACTTGAAATAAATCACATTAACTTGAATGGGTTATCCTAGTCTAAATCTACATACACAGTGGACTTTATATTTCCTCACAACACTTGCATGTTCTCACCACCACCGTTAAGAAAATATCTGCATGCTATGTAGACAGCACCTCAGTGTGACTTTCTTATCTTCGACAGCCTCGTGTAACCAACCAGACTGCCTCAGGTGTGACCTAGAGACAGCAGAGTGTGTCAAGTGTCTGTACGTGATCATGGCCTCCTCCCGTGTGTGTCACTCTGCCTGTCCTCCTGGACACTCCAGCTCCTGGCCTCCGGACCCCCCTCTCATGGGTCGTGTGTGTACAGGTGAGTCTCATGCCTCTCTAAAACTTTGGTACCCGAGGGCCTTGTATAAGTGTGTAGGCCTTTTGTGTATTTGTAGCCCTATGTAAATGGGTGTCTGTGTAGGCTTTTACAGGCTATTTGTGTAGATTTCTTTGTGTTATACCTACACCTGAATATCTGTAGGCTTCTGCAGGTGTGTGTCTTAGGGTCAATGTGTAACCCGTATGTTATGAATGATCTGTAGACCTCAATGGGTGTGTGTGTGTGTACTCACCTAGCTGTGGTTGCAGGGGTCGATTCACAGCTCCTGGCCCCTGCGTGCTCATATGATCGTCTCCCATTTTTAGGTACTGTAGGCCTACTGAAGTGTTCCTCCATTCTTGTGCTCCAAGATACACAAGTCTAAAGTTTCAAGCCGACCTCAATAGGCATTCTCCATCAAGATGAAGTTTCCTTAGAGAAAAATCACATCAGAACAAAAGGTTTGAAGCCAATCGCAAGATGCATCCCCCAGTTACTGCACAGAATCCAACAAATCCAAATTTGTTAACCATGCCACAGACTAAACGCCCTAAAAATATTATCCTAATTTTAATAACTCTCGTTAAACACTGAAAACTATCAACTTATGAAGGGAGGAATACTGCAAGAGGCCTACTGGCCCATATAGGGCAAGTCTTTCTCAAATCCATCCCACTAATGAATATATTCGCCCAACTTAATTTAATGTTATCCAAGCAACAAGCTCTGATAACCCTTTTAACTCGTGTGAGAGTCCCACTTAAATCCAACCCGTCTCACTCGTGTATTTATCCAGGTTGAAGCTACCCAAGGTTTTAGCTTCAATAACACTACCGGGAAGATGAAATTAAGACACATGTGCAACATCTGGGTATCTTTATTGTAGACGTTTCGCCACTGGATGGCGAAACGTTTACAATAAAGGTACCTAGATGTTGCACATGTGTTTTAATTTCATCTTGTCGGTATATACCATTCTTGTACAACTACCGGGAAGACTGTTCCACTCATCCTAACCTAACCTACCCTAACCTAACCTAACCTAACCTACCCTAACCTACCCTAACCTAACCTACCCTAGCCTAACCTACCCTAGCCTAACCTACCCTAGCCTAACCTAACCTACCCTAACCTACCCTAACCTAACCTACCCTAGCCTAACCTCCCATAGCCTAACCTACCCTAACCTAACCTAACCTACCCTAACCTAACCTAACCTAACCTAACCTACCCTAGCCTAACCTAACCTAACCTACCCTAACCTAACCTACCCTACCCTAACCTAACCTAACCTACCCTAGCCTAACCTACCCTACCCACCAAGGCAGGATAACCCTGAAGACGACACTTGCATCATCATTCACTCCACTGTCTTGCCAGAGGCGTACCTTCACTAGCAGGACACACTAGTGTTACTAATCCAGTAATGACTTTCCGCAGAGCGCAGTGTGCTGGCACTGGTCTCAGGCCGTGACCTGAGCATCATTGCAGGCGCTGCTGTGGGCGGCGCAGTGTGCGTGGGCGTTATTATAGGCGCACTCCTCTACATGCGCAGGCGCGCTAAACCCCATCCAGACCAACCCCCACCAGACCACCCCCACCATTACCCCCTCCCCAGGCTCTGGAGGGACAAGAGACCTAAGACCACAGGTAAGATCAATATTTTGAGTTGTTCTTTTGTAAGACCTGATTACCAGGTATTCAGGTCGTTACGTGACCTGACCTTCAAGTACTCAGGTTTTGTGAGATGACCTGAAGAGACCTGACCTCAAGGTATTTAGGTGTTTGTTAGGTGAATTGAGGAGACGGAACTTTGTCTCTGTAGTCTGACAAGATCCAGGTACTCTCGATACCCATGATGTGGGCGGTAGACGTCCCATGAGTGGGCGGTAGACGTCCCATGGGTGGGTGGTAGACGTCCCATGAGTGGGTGCTAATCACCCCATACTATCAGTGGTAGTTATCTCCTCATCCACTGGTTGGTAGTTCCCATTCACTGGTTGATAGTCCTCATCCACTGGCTGGTAGCCTCCATTCACTGGTTGATAGTCCTCATCCACTGGCTGGTAGTCCCCATTCACTGGTTGGTAGTCCTCATCCACTGGCTGGTAGTCCTCATCCACTGGCTGGTAGTCCCCATTCACTGGTTGGTAGTCCTCATCCACTGGCTGGTAGTCCCCATCCACTGGTTGGTAGTCCTCATCCACTGGCTGGTAGTCCTCATCCACTGGCTGGTAGTCCCCATCCACTGGCTGGTGGGCCCCATCCACTGGCTGGTGGGCCCCATCCACTGGTTGGTGGTCCCCATCCACTGGTTGGTAGTCCTCATCCACTGGTTGGTGGTCCCCATCCACTGGTTGGTAGTCCTCATCCACTGGTTGGTGGTCCCTATCCACTGGTTGGTAGTCCTCATCCACTGGTTGGTAGTCCTCATCCACTGGTTGGTGGGCCCCATCCACTGGTTGGTAGTCCTCATCCACTGGCTGGTAGTCCCCATCCACTGGCTGGTAGTCCCCATCCACTGGCTGGTAGTCCCCATCCACTGGCTGGTGGGCCCCATCCACTGGTTGGTGGGCCCCATCCACTGGTTGGTGGGCCCCATCCACTGGTTGGTGGGCCCCATCCACTGGTTGGTAGTCCTCATCCACTGGTTGGTGGTCCCCATCCACTGGTTGGTAGTCCTCATCCACTGGTTGGTGGTCCCCATCCACTGGTTGGTAGTCCTCATCCACTGGCTGGTAGTCCCCCATCCACTGGTTTGGTAGTCCCCATCCACTGGTTGGTAGTCCCCATCCACTGGTTGGTAGTCCTCATCCACTGGCTGGTAGTCCCCATCCACTGGTTGGTAGTCCTCATCCACTGGCTGGTAGTCCCCATCCACTGGTTGGTAGTCCCCATCCACTGGTTGGTAGTCCTCATCCACTGGCTGGTAGTCCCCATCCACTGGTTGATAGTCCTCATCCACTGGTTGGTAGTCCCCATCCACTGGTTGGTAGTCCTCATCCACTGGCTGGTAGTCCCCATCCACTGGTTGGTAGTCCCCATCCACTGGTTGGTAGTCCTCATCCACTGGTTGGTAGTCCCCATCCACTGGTTGGTAGTCCCCATCCACTGGTTGGTAGTCCCCATCCACTGGTTGGTAGTCCTCATCCACTGGTTGGTAGTCCTCATCCACTGGTTGGTAGTCCTCATCCACTGGTTGGTAGTCCTCATCCACTGGTTGGTAGTCCTCATCCACTGGCTGGTAGTCCTCATCCACTGGCTGGTAGTCCTCATCCACTGGCTGGTAGTCCCCATTCACTGGTTGGTAGTCCTCATCCACTGGTTGGTAGTCCCCATCCACTGGTTGGTAGTCCTCATCCACTGGCTGGTAGTCCCCATTCACTGGTTGATAGTCCTCATCCACTGGTTGGTAGTCCCCATCCACTGGTTGGTAGTCCTCATCCACTGGCTGGTAGTCCCCATTCACTGGTTGGTGGTCCCCATCCCCATTCATCGGCAAGTTTGCCGATGACACCAAAATAGGCCGTCGAATTCATTCTGACGAGGACATTAGAGCACTCCAGGAAGATTTGAATAGACTGATGCAGTGGTCGGAGAAGTGGCAGATGCAGTTTAATATAGACAAATGCAAAGTTCTAAATGTTGGACAGGACAATAACCATGCCACATATAAACTAAATAATGTAGATCTTAATATTACGGATTGCGAAAAAGATTTAGGAGTTCTGGTTAGCAGTAATCTGAAACCAAGACAACAGTGCATAAGTGTTCGCAATAAAGCTAATAGAATCCTTGGCTTCATATCAAGAAGCATAAATAATAGGAGTCCTCAGGTTGTTCTTCAACTCTATACATCCTTGGTTAGGCCTCATTTAGATTATGCTGCACAGTTTTGGTCACCGTATTACAGAATGGATATAAATTCTCTGGAAAATGTACAAAGGAGGATGACAAAGTTGATCCCATGTATCAGAAACCTTCCCTATGAGGATAGACTAAGGGCCCTGAATCTGCACTCTCTAGAAAGACGTAGAATTAGGGGGGATATGATTGAGGTGTATAAGTGGAAGACAGGAATAAATAAGGGGATGTAAATAGTGTGCTGAAAATATCTAGCCTAGACAGGACTCGCAGCAATGGTTTTAAGTTGGAAAAATTCAGATTCAGGAAGGATATAGGAAAGTACTGGTTTGGTAATAGAGTTGTGGATGAGTGGAACAAACTCCCAAGTACCGTTATAGAGGCCAGAACGTTGTGTAGCTTTAAAAATAGGTTGGATAAATACATGAGTAGATGTGGGTGGGTGTGAGTTAGACCTGATAGCTTGTGCTAACAGGTCGGTTGCCGTGTTCCTCCCTTAAGTCAATGTGACCTGACCTGACTAGGTTGGGTGCATTGGCTTAAGCCGGTAGGAGACTTGGACCTGCCTCGCATGGGCCAGTAGGCCTTCTGCAGTGTTCCTTCGTTCTTATGTTCTTATGTTCTTATGTTCTTAACTGAGAGTCTAACATTCTTAGGCAAGTTAATGTCGGGATAAAGCCATTATAACCAATTCAGTCAGATAAATGGCTCAGAGAACCGACAAGATAAATTAAAATTAGTTACAGTGAATTGAGTCCTGTGGAAACTGCAAGATGGTCACCATAAGGGAATTTCTATACAGTACTATATATATCAATCACCCTATTTCTATAAGCTATACTCCACTTAATTGAAATAGATTTTTTGGGGGTCTAAGACACACATGCAACACTCGATTGTCTTTAGTGTTGCAAATGCGTCTTGTTCAGCAGTTTGTAGGTGTTGTGTAACGTTGAAAGTAAATGGTATAAAATACCGACACAATGGAAACAAACACATGCAGTTTAATGTGATCCTTTATTGACAACGTTTCGCCCACACAGTGGGCTTTTTTCAAGTCACAAACAGATCTACCTGGGGTGGAAGGTACGGGAGTATTTATAGTCAGGTTAAGAATGTTGAGGTCAGGTGGAGAATGCTGCATCTGATGATCTACCGGGTGGAGTTATAGAGTCTTGGGTAGCTTGGCAGGGGTATTGGACAAGTTGTAGACCTTCTGCAGTGTTCTATGTTCTTATGTGGGATAGCGATGAAGAAGTTTCTTGGCGAGTGGTTCAGCTATGTTATAGAAGTCGTTGTTCTGGTTGAAATTGTTGGTTATAGAGATAAGCGATGATTCCAGGATTCTTCGGTATTGAGTGTTGTCTTCTGTGGCGATAAGTCTTGAGTTTCTGTAGTTAATTAAATGGTTGTGTGAATTGCGATGTTGTACACAGGCATTCCTTGTGTCGTCAGTCCTGCTTGTGTATTGGTGTTCTGAAATACGTGTTTGGAGGTCTCTTGATGTTTCGCCCACGTATAATTTGTTGCAGTCATTACAAGGGATTATGTATACCCCTGCAGAGGACGGAAGCTTGTCCTGTCTACTACTAGTGATGTCCTTGATGGTCGTGGTTGTGGAGGTAGATACTTGGAATGATGTATTGGAAAAGATGTTGGAAACATGTTTGGCAATGGAGTTGGTGGGGAGGACTATGTATCTCTTCTCGGCAGTGTCTTCTCTGGGTGTTTTGAAGATGTTTAATGCCCGCCGTCTGCAGTCTCTGATGAAGTGACGAGGATAGTGGAGTTTAGAAAATACTTGTTCAATTATAGTGCATTCTTCCTCAAGGAACTCATTGCTGCAGATTCTGAGTGCACGCAGGAAGAAGCCTATAATTACACCACGTTTGGTTTTGGTGTCGTGGTGAGAGTAGAAGTGGAGAAGATCGTTTTGGTTGGTGGGTTTTCGATAGACTTTAAAACGAAGTTCATGGTCCAGCCTTGACATAACTTCCCTATTCACCAAAGTACCTACTACACAAGCCATAGATCTCCTGCGCAGAAAAATTGACGATTCACTTTATCTTCCTATTCCTGCCAGCGATTTCATCGACCTCGTTGAACTCTAAGAACATAAGAACATAAGAAAGGAGGAACACTGCAGAAGGCCTGTTGGCCCATACTAGGCAGGTCCTTTACAATTCATCCCACTAACAAAACATTTGCCCAACCCAATTTTCAATGCCACCCAAGAAACAAGCTCCGATGTGCAAGTCCCACTCAAATCCAACCCCTCCCACTCATGTACTTATCCAACCTAAATTTGAAACTACCCAAAGTCCTAGCCTCAATAACCCAACTAGGTAGACTGTTCCACTCATCAACTACCCTATTTCCAAACCAATACTTTCCTATGTCCTTTCTGAATCTAAACTTATCCAACTTAAATCCATTACTGCGGGTTCTCTCTTGGAGAGATATCCTCAAGACCTTGTTAATATCCCCTTTATTAATACCTATCTTCCACTTATACACCTCGATCAGGTCTCCCCTCATTCTTCGTCTAACAAGTGAATGTAACTTGAGAGTCTTCAATCTTTCTTCATAAGGAAGATTTCTAATGCTATGTATTAATTTAGTCATCCTACGCTGAATGTTTTCTAAGGAATTTATGTCCATTCTGTAGTATGGAGACCAGAACTGAGATGCATAATCTAGGTGAGGCCTTACTAATGATGTATAAAGCTGCAGTATGACCTCTGGACTTCTGTTGCTTACACTTCTTGATATAAATCCCAGTAATCTATTTGCCTTATTACGTACGCTTAGGCATTGCTGTCTTGGTTTAAGGTTGCTGCTTACCATAACCCCCAAGTCCTTTTCACAATCTGTATGGCTAAGTTCTACATTATTTAACTTGTAAGTGCTATGGTTATGGACACTCCCGAGCTTCAGAACCTTGCATTTATCTACATTGAACTGCATCTGCCACTTTTCTGACCAAGAGTAGAGTTTGTCTAAATCCTCCTGAAGTTCCCTAACATCTACGTTTGAATCAATTATCCTACCTATCTTCGTGTCATCGGCGAATTTGCTCATATCAATAGTAATTCCTTCATCAAGATCATTGATATATATTATAAACAACAACGGGCCCAAGACTGATCCCTGTGGAACGCCACTTGTTACTGATCCCCACTCGGATTTAACCCCATTTATGGACACTCTCTGCTTCCTGTCTGTGAGCCATGATTCGATCCACGAGAGCACCCTTCCCCCAATGCCATGAGCTGCTACTTTCTTCAACAGTCTCTGGTGCGGAACTCTATCAAATGCCTTACTAAAATCTAAGTAAACAATATCAAATTCTTTATCGTGGTCAACAGCCTCAAAAGCTTTACTGAAGAAAGTTAATAAATTAGTTAGACAAGACCGTCTTTACATGTTTCTCTTTCGAAAATCACCTCTTTCAACAGACTTTTGGTCTACCCATGGGCTCGCCACTCAGTGCCGTCCTGGCGAACTTATACATGGAACATCTGGAAGCAGAGCGTTTCTCCACCATTATTCCCTCGACTGTCACCTGGCTCCATTATGTTGACGACATTCTCCTCATAACTCCCAGACGCTTCAACGTTCATGCTCTCCAAGACAAGCTCAACCAGGTCGAGCCTTCAATCCAGTTCACACTTGAAGAAGAAGTCGACAACACTCTTCCTTTCCTTGATGTTCTTCTCTGCAAAGCTGACCACGAACTTTGTTTTAAAGTCTATCGAAAACCCACCAACCAAAACGATCTTCTCCACTTCTACTCTCGCCACGACACTAAAACTAAACGTGGTGTAATTATAGGCTTCTTCCTGCGTGCACTCAGAATCTGCAGCAATGAGTTCCTTGAGGAAGAATGCACTATAATTGAACAAGTAGTTTCTAAACTCCACTATCTTCGTCACTTCATCAGAGACTGCAGACGGCGGGCATTAAACATCTTCAACACACCCAGAGAAGACACTGCCGAGAAGAGATACATAGTCCTCCCCACCAACTCCATTGCCAAACATGTTTCCAACATCTTTTCCAATACATCATTCCAAGTATCTACCTCCACAACCACGACCATCAAGGACATCACCAGTAGTAGACAGGACAAGCTTCCGTCCTCTGCAGGGGTATACATAATCCCTTGTAATGACTGTAACAAATTATACGTGGGCGAAACATCAAGAGACCTCCAAACACGTATTTCAGAACACCAATACACAAGCAGGACTGACGACACAAGGAATGCCTGTGTACAACATCGCAATTCACACAACAATTTAATTAACTACAGAAACTCAAGACTTATCGCCACAGAAGACAACACTCAATACCGAAGAATCCTGGAATCATCGCTTATCTCTATAACCAACAATTTCAACCAGAACAATGGCTTCTATAACATAGCTGAACCACTCGCCAAGAAACTTCTTCATCGCTATCCCACATAAGAACATAGAACACTGTAGATGGATGGTTCAGAGAACCGACATGTTGATAAATTAGACACATCTGCAACTCTTGGATATCTTTATTGAGGAAACGTTTCGCCACACAGTGGCTTCATCAGTCCATACGTAGGAGAAACTTGAAGAACAGGAGGAGAATGAGGTAATCAGTCCCACTACCTATGACTGCTACACCTCTCCTGCCATACGGTTTATAAGCTGCTTCTCCGCTCATATGCCGTATTCTACTCAAGATTGATGGACTGAACACATCGACTCAAGGTTGAGGGACTGATTACCTCATTCTCCTCCTGTTCTTCAAGTTTCTCCTACGTATGGACTGATGAAGCCACTGTGTGGCGAAACGTTTCCTCAATAAAGATACCCAAGAGTTGCACATGTGTCTAATTTATCAACATAGAACACTGCAGAAGGTCTACTCACAACTTGTCCAATACCCCTGCCAAGCTACCCAAGACTCTATAACCCCACCCAGTGGATCCTCAGATGCAGCATTCTCCACCTGATCTCAACATTCTTCACCTGACTATAAATACTCCCGTTCCTTCCACCCCAGGTAGATCTGTTTGTGACTTGAAAAAGCCCACTATGTGGGCGAAACGTTGTCAACAAAGGATCACATTAAACTGCACATGTGTTTATGTTTCCATTGTGTAACGTTAGTATGTTAGGTATGTTGCAGAGTGATGTGAGGATTAGTTAGTCTACCAACCTGGAGGACTTTTATTAATAACTTTCTACTCCCTTATACTCGCCTTTTATACTCAATCTCGAAGCCATCTTCCAGTTTCTATATATTTCGCATTCCTTTTGACTTCGCAACCGTGTAGACAAATGAGCACTGCAGCAGGCCTGCTGGCCCATGCTAGGCAGGTCCAGGTCGCCTACCGGCCAAAGCCGACCAGGTCTAAGTCACATCCACTTAAGAAGGATGAAGCACTGCGTCAGACCCACTAGCGCAAGCCAGATCGGTCCAACTCACACCCTTTCTGCTCAAACGCTCCAGATATTCCAGTCTCTGTGAAAGCTATAATGTCGGAATTCTCTTCTGTTATCCAGTCATTTAGTTGACAATATTTGTGAATCTATCTGCACTTGTATACCACGTTTGATTATTTTGCCCTTGTGGGTCTTGTGTTTCCCTACTCAGTGATCCCTCTCGCCCGCCCACTCACCAATCGTGACTTCCAACAGAGGTATCGGTGGCAGATGAAGAGAGGGCAGAGTTCCTGCAGCAGCTAGATGGACTCAGAGGAGAAGCTAGCAACTTTCTAGAGATGCTGACCCATACTAGGAACCGGTTCAGGACTCTCCGCGGACCTGACTCACCCACGGACACCAAGGCTAAGGCTTACAGGTGAGGAGGAGGACAATAAGAATGTGAGATAGGAGGAGCACTGCAATAGGCCTACTGGCCCGTGCTAGGCAGGTCCAAGTCACCTACTGACCCAATCCAGTCAGGTCCAAGTCACCTACTGACCCAATCCAGTCAGGTCCAAGTCACCTACTGACCCAATCCAGTCAGGTCCAAGTCACCTACTGACCCAATCCAGTCAGGTCCAAGTCACCTACTGACCCAATCCAGTCAGGTCCAAGTCACCTACTGACCCAATCCAGTCAGGTCCAATCACCTACTAACCCAATCCAGTCAGGTCAAGTCACTACTGACCAATCAGTCAGGTCCAAGTCACCTACTGACCCAATCCAGTCAGGTCCAAGTCACCTACTGACCAATCCAGTCAGGTCCAAGTCACCTACTGACCCAATCAGTCAGGTCCAAGTCACCTACTGACCCAATCCAGTCAGGTCCAAGTCACCTACTGACCCAATCCAGTCAGGTCCAAGTCACCTACTGACCCAATCCAGTCAGGTCCAAGTCACCTACTGACCCAATCCAGTCAGGTCCAACTCACGCCCACCTATACCCACTTGTGTATTTCTCTGACCTATCTGGATCACCAGCTGACACTATGTACAAATCTCTCAGCAAAATACATCGCTATACACTATAAAATACATCGCTATACACTATAAAATACATCGCTATACACTATAAAATACAATGCAAGTCGTAATAAAGTTGGTAGAATTACCGACAATATGTAAAGTAAAAGGACACAAGTGCAACTAATGTGACATTTATTGTGGCAACGTTTCGCTCTCCAGGAGCTTTATCAAGCCATTACAAACAATACATGGACACAGAGGGTATATAAAGGCTCAGAGTGAGGTGAATACTAGTGAGGTACTATTTCGATGTTCACTAGTGGTAGTAGTAGTAGTAGTAGTGGTAGTAGTAGTAGTAGTAGTGGTAGTGACAAAAGTAATACAATATGGTAGAGCAAATAATTCGTACATGAGTAAAAGGATATAAAAGCTATTACTTGGGTAACATAAAAATAGGTTGGACAAATATAAACTGGAATGAGACAGCTTGTTTCAGTGTTCACTCTCTGTGCTTTGTGTAGTATAACAGGAGAGACTATGTGATGGCAGGGTTTACTGTTTTCAGGAGGATTCTTGCTAAGACTTCGGAGATGGTGAAGCTGCCGTTGTTTTGTTTAATTGTATTCGAAACAGCGATCAGTGCTGATTGGAGGCACTTGCGTGTGCGGAAATTAGTTTCTTTGATCACTAATTGGGCGTCTCTGAATTTCATAAGATGATTGGTGGAATTTCGGTGTTGTACACAGGCGTTGTTTAAGTTGTCGTTCCTACATGCGTAAATGTGTTCATTGAGGCTCTACCATATTGTATTACTACTACTACTACTACTACTACTACTACCACTACTACTACTACTACTACCACCACCACTAGTGAATATCGAAATGGTACCTCACTAGTATTGCACCTCACTCTGAGCCTTTATATACCCTCTGTGTCCATGTATTGTTTGTAATGGCTTGATAAAGCTCCTGGAGAGCGAAACGTTGCCACAATAAATGTCACATTAGTTGCACTTGTGTCCTTTTACTTTACAATGCAAGTTAAACCTAAGGGACACTTGAGGGTTACCCGAGACATATCCCAAGATATATCTAGGGGATACCTAAAGAATACCCAAGGTATACCTAAGTGACCCAAGGTATATCTAAGTGATACCCCAAAGTACACCCCATGGTATATCTAATACTCAAGGTATACCTAAGGGATACCCTAAGGTATACCCAGAAACCACTGATGAACCTGGACATCCTTGCAGAGCTGTGGTCCGCGACCTCTCTCGGGTCCTCACGCTACTGAACCGTCGTGATGAACACATACTGACGGTACCTGGTGACTGGAGGAGACTCCTGACCTGGGCCGCCAGAGTCCTAGCTAGATACAAGAGGCAGAAAGCCATTAAGGTGAGTCCTTCGAGTCCTGTATAGGATATACTGTGTCTGTCTGTTTTCTCTCTCTCTCTCTCTCTATAAAATATATATATATATTATATATATATATATTATATATATATATATATATATATATAATATAAACTATATCTATTTCACAATATTGTGATAGCAACAAAGTAAGTTGTCGCTCCGATGTTTTAAGTTTCAACTCGATTAGGAGATGCATTCTCAAGTTATCACATGGAAACTAATTATTCCACTGTAATAATGTTTATAAAACTATCTAAATCATAAATACACGTGAAAGTTTATATAAATCAGGTAACATGTTAGGTATTGCTATGTTATATAAATTGCATGTCTGGTATTTGTTATATACTAAAGAAGGCCACATTTGGAGGTCGAAATATATATTGATCAGGGATCGATTCTTCTTCTCTTGTGTTGCTGGCTAAATTTTGACAACACTGGCTGTTTTCTACTAGGTCAGAGTTAGAAAAACAAAGATTCACCATCATTCGAGTTGTACCTTCGTATTACATCAGTTTATTTTGCAGGAAAGTGGAGAATTACCGTCGCTAGAGCCCATGAGTGTGAGTGGCACACTATACCAGACACGACGGCAGGCACAGGCTGAGAGGTGCAGGCTGGTCACTCAGGCAGCTCCAGCATCCTACACACAGAATGCTCATGTGTGCAGGGACTTCGAGGATCAAGATGAACTCTCCTTGTGCAGGGGTAAGACCTGGCAGGTTCTTGTAACACACAAGTGCAACACCTAGGTATCTTTATTACACCAGTGTGACACAGCAACACAGTGAAGCTGTGTCACAGACGAGGTCGTCTATGAAAGTTAAGACACATGTGCAACATCTGGATATCTTTATTGTAGACGTTTCGCCATCCAGTGGCTTTATGAATACAGATTCTTGGACATAATAGGAAGACAGTAGAACTATATACAAAAGATGAGGTAATCAGTCCCTCGGCCTTGGAGTTAGTGTTCACAGCATCGTGGTGGAGGAGAATCTGGAGCAAAGACAAGAAGACTGGCGGAGACTGGCAGAGGACATCTACAAGACCTTCTTCACGGCTGCTGCAACTAACCCATCTCTTTGGGAAGGACCTACTTCCACTGGGGAATCCCGCCTACCAGTGACTTTGCCCTCGTCTGCTGCCCGTCCCTATCCACTGACGCCTATATAACCGCCAGTCTTCTTGTCTTTGCTCCAGACTCTCCTCCACCACGATGCTGTGAACACTAACTCCAAGGCCGAGGGACTGATTACCTCATCTTTTGTATATAGTTCTACTGTCTTCCTATTATGTCCAAGAATCTGTATTCATAAAGCCACTGGATGGCGAAACGTCTACAATAAAGATATCCAGATGTTGCACATGTGTCTTAACTTTCATATTGTCGGTATTTTATACCTTTCTTGCACGAGGTCGTCTATCTCTGGCCAGAGTCGTGAGCATACTCTACACCCATCTGTGACCACGTCTACAACTACTGTGCTACAGAGACGTACCTCTGATAACGATACCCGGGTATCGCACATGTCTTATTCATGAACAGGTCGGTACTACATACCCTTGATTGAAAGATATCTTATAGCCGAGGATTTACAACAGGTGTGGGGTAAAAAGATGGGTGTTTTTCGGCCGAAGCGGCAGGGTTGTGTACCCCATATCCACAGGGGCTTTGGTGGCCTGGTGGTTAACACTCTCGCTTCACACGGTGAGGGCCTGGGTTCGATTCCCAGCCAGAGTAGAAACATTGGACGTGTTTCTTTCCACCTGTTGTCTATGTTCCCCATCAGTAAAATGGGTACCTGGGTGTTAGTCGACTGGTGTGGGTCGCATCCTGGGACACTGACCTAAGGAGGCCTGGTCACAGACCGGGCCGCGGGGGCGTTGACCCCCGGAACTCTCTCCAGATAAACTCCAGATAAACACACATAGGCCTATGATCTGGGGCTCAAAGAATTAAAAGGAGTACATCTCCACATGTATCTACATACTGTGTCTTATCTGTTGTAAGTAAACTTCAGAATATTTGCTTTATAAGTCTGGTATCTTATTTTCAGTAAGATACCCTGAAATGTTACATGGGTTATCATGTCTCTATATTTCTCAATAAGTGGAGAATCAAGCATAAAGTCTACAAGAGTGAGACAATGAACCTAGTCACATACTTGTCAACTGGTTTGATCATCTACGTGTCTGCCAAACTGCCAGAAGAACTTGTAATCAAGCCTAAGCCTGGCTACTACAACACTCACTTTCCACTGGTACTGGTACCGTAAATGTACCCAGCGACACAGCCCGGGACACTCTTACCTCTCCTGTCGGAGTTCACACTGTAGCAGGCCTGTTGGCCTGCTACAGTGTTCCTCCTTTCTTGACTCACGAAATCGTAATGACACGATTGCAAACAAACCATACCACGGGCGGGATTGGAACCCGCGGGCAGAGTGTCTGAAAACTCGATGGTGTCTGGAGTTTTGAGACTCTGACCGCGGGTTCAAATCCCGCCCGTGGTATGGTTTCCTCCTTTCTTATGTTCGTATGACATTTCGATTCGTTTTGGACTTAATAATGCGAACCGAGAGGTCGTCTTAAGTAGCCTCTTGAAATTGGGTTAGTGATGTGTTATGGCCATGCTACTGTTACTTGTATTCCTGTACATCCTTCCTCTGCTGCCACGTTCTTCAGAGAACCATCAGTCTCTCCTGCCGTTCCAGAAGTCAGCATTTATTCGCGAGTCCAGAAGGAAGATCGACCCTCTACAATAATGTACTACCCAAAAACTATAGCTGGAGTTTACCTGGAGAGAGTTCCGGGGGTCAACGCCCCCGCGGCCCGGTCTGTGACCAGGCCTCCTGGTGGATCAGAGCCTGATCAACCAGACTGTTACTGCTGGCTGCACGCAAACCAACGTACGAGCCACAGCCCGGCTGGTCAGGAACCGACTTTAGGTGCTTGTCCAGTGCCAGCTTGAAGACTGCCAGGGGTCTGTTGGTAATCCCCCTTATGTATGCTGGGAGGCAGTTGAACAGTCTCGGGCCCCTGACACTTATTGTATGGTCTCTTAACGTGCTAGTGACACCCCTGCTTTTCATTGAGGGGATGGTGCATCGTCTGCCAAGTCTTTTGATTTCGTGAGTGATTTTCGTGTGCAAGTTCGGTACTAGTCCCTCTAGGATTTTCCAGGTGTATATAATCGTGTATCTCTCCCGCCTGCGTTCCAGGGAATACAGGTTTAGGAACCTCAAGCGCTCCCAGTAATTGAGGTGTTTTATCTCAGTTATGCGCGCCGTGAAGGTTCTCTGTACATTTTCTAGGTCAGCAATTTCACCTGCCTTGAAAGGTGCTGTTAGTGTGCAGCAATATTCCAGCCTAGATAGAACAAGTGACCTGAAGAGTGTCATCATGGGCTTGGCCTCCCTAGTTTTGAAGGTTCTCATTATCCATCCTGTCATTTTTCTAGCAGATGCTGTTATTAGATAAATAGACATTTTAGGACATATTAATGGTTAATGAGAAATATCAGAAATAAGTTTTTGCTAAACTAACTTACTTGTTATTGCAGATGACGTGCTGAGTGAGAGAGGATCGAGGTCATCCTCACTCCTGAGCCTCACACCTGTCATACTGGAGGAGGAGGAGGAGGATCACAAGGACCATATCTTCCTTCAAGACATGGAGGGCCACTCCAAAGAAACCAGCTTCAGTAGCGACCTGGAATCCCAGTATCAGGCAAATATCGACCCCCACCTCACCGATGGCGAGGCGCTGAAGCAAGATGGAACCCACGAGGACAATAACAACACCGTCAAACAACTAAATCACATGCACAAGCTGACCAACATACTAAGGCGCAACTCCAGAGCCTCGCCAACAATCACAGAAAAAATCATGAATCTCAGGAACAAGGAACGATCATCAGAGACCTATAACATCTCCCGACACATCGTTACAGACGATACCAGATTCCACATCCAAACTCAGAAGATTTCAGTGACTCTGAAACCTCCAGAAAACGAAACCCAAGCTATACCTAGAACCACCAGCCTTCAGGGCATGGAGAAGGACGTAATCAATGCCGTTTTATCCGGAGAAGATATATACGTTAATGTTATCAGGAATCCAGTGATGGTAGGCCTTAGGCTGGCCGGAGACCCATACAGGGACGACACTATTGAACATGGCCACCATCCAACACCTGTAGATCAACAGGTGTTGAACAAGACCAACCCAGCAGGCAGCTGCAAAGCGGAGGTGAGACGACACCTGTCAACACCCAGATGTGAACTGACTACTGAACTATAATGACGTTGCTGAGGGATTGAACACCTGTCTAGGCTGAGGGACTGAACACCTGTCTAGGCTGAGAGACTGAACACCTGTCTAGGCTGAGGGACTGAACACCTACCTAGGCTGAGGGACTGAACACCTGTCTAGGCTGAGGGACTGAACACCTGTCTAGGCTGAGGGAGTGAACACCTACCTAGGCTGAGGGAGTGAACACCTACCTAGGCTGAGGGAGTGAACACCCACCTAGGCTGAGGGAGTGAACACCCACCTAGGCTGAGGGAGTGAACACCCACCTAGGCTGAGGGAGTGAACACCCACCTAGGCTGAGGGAGTGAACACCCACCTAGGCTGAGGGAGTGAACACCCACCTAGGCTGAGGGAGTGAACACCCACCTAGGCTGAGGGAGTGAACACCCACCTAGGCTGAGGGAGTGAACACCCACCTAGGCTGAGGGAGTGAACACCCACCTAGGCTGAGGGAGTGAACACCCACCTAGGCTGAGGGAGTGAACACCCACCTAGGCTGAGGGAGTGAACACCCACCTAGGCTGAGGGAGTTGAACACCCACCTAGGCTGAGGGAGTGAACACCCACCTAGGCTGAGGGAGTGAACACCCACCTAGGCTGAGGGAGTGAACACCCACCTAGGCTGAGGGAGTGAACACCCACCTAGGCTGAGGGAGTGAACACCCACCTAGGCTGAGGGAGTGAACACCCACCTAGGCTGAGGGAGTGAACACCTACCTAGGCTGAGGGAGTAAACACCCACCTAGGCTGAGGGAGTGAACACCCACCTAGGCTGAGGGAGTGAACACCTACCTAGGCTGAGGGAGTAAACACCCACCTAGGCTGAGGGAGTAAACACCCACCTAGGCTGAGGGAGTGAACACCCACCTAGGCTGAGGGAGTAAACACCCACCTAGGCTGAGGGAGTGAACACCCACCTAGGCTGAGGGAGTGAACACCCACCTAGGCTGAGGGAGTGAACACCTACCTAGGCTGAGGGAGTGAACACCTACCTAGGCTGAGGGAGTGAACACCCACCTAGGCTGAGGGAGTGAACACCCACCTAGGCTGAGGGAGTGAACACCTACCTAGGCTGAGGGAGTGAACACCTACCTAGGCTGAGGGAGTGAACACCCACCTAGGCTGAGGGAGTGAACACCCACCTAGGCTGAGGGAGTGAACACCCACCTAGGCTGAGGGAGTGAACACCCACCTAGGCTGAGGGAGTGAACACCTACCTAGGCTGAGGGAGTAAACACCCACCTAGGCTGAGGGAGTGAACACCCACCTAGGCTGAGGGAGTGAACACCTACCTAGGCTGAGGGAGTAAACACCCCACCTAGGCTGAGGGAGTAAACACCCACCTAGGCTGAGGGAGTAAACACCCACCTAGGCTGAGGGAGTGAACACCCACCTAGGCTGAGGGAGTGAACACCTACCTAGGCTGAGGGAGTAAACACCCACCTAGGCTGAGGGAGTAAACACCCACCTAGGCTGAGGGAGTAAACACCCACCTAGGCTGAGGAGTAAACACCCACCTAGGCTGAGGGAGTAAACACCCACCTAGGCTGAGGGAGTAAACACCCACCTAGGCTGAGGGAGTAAACACCCACCTAGGCTGAGGGAGTAAACACCCACCTAGGCTGAGGGAGTGAACACCACAAACTACACACAAAGGTTTCGCCCGGTTTGTCTCTACTTCCTACAGGACCAATAAAGCCGGTTATGGGCGAAACGTTGCCACAATAAAGATACCCAAGTGTTGGTATTATACCCAAAGTTGTGAGTTGAAGGATAAATAACTCACAAGAGTTAGTTAGCTAACTCAAAAGACTAATATATTGTGTCTAGCAACTAATTAGCATAAGCAACTTAAAATGACTGTAATTAGGGTCACTGTGTTCCTAATTACAACCAGAGATGAACACAAGAATGTTAGCCCTTAGTTCTCTCCCTTGCTCGTGCCCTCCCTTGTTCTCCAGTACCCTCCCTTGTTCTCCAGTACCCTCCCTTGTTCTCCAGTACCCTCCCTTGTTCTCCAGTACCCTCCCTTGTTCTCCAGTACCCTCCCTTGTTCTCCAGTACCCACCCTTGTTCTCCAGTACCCACCCTTGTTCTCCAGTACCCTCCCTTGTTCTCCAGTACCCACCCTTGTTCTCCAGTACCCACCCTTGTTCTCCAGTACCCTCCCTTGTTCTCCAGTACCCTCCCTTGTTCTCCAGTACCCTCCCTTGTTCTCCAGTACCCTCCCTTGTTCTCCAGTACCCTCCCTTGTTCTACAGTACCCACCCTTGTTCTCCAGTACCCACCCTTGTTCTCCAGTACCCTCCCTTGTTCTCCAGTACCCTCCCTTGTTCTCCAGTACCCTCCCTTGTTCTCCAGTACCCTCCCTTGTTCTCCTTTACCCACCCTTGTTCTCCTTTACCTACCCTTGTTCTCCTTTACCCACCCTTGTTCTCCATTACCCTCCTTTGTTCTCCTTTACCCACCCTTGTTCTCCTTTACCCACCCTTGTTCTCCATTACCCACCCTTGTTCTCCATTACCCACCCTTGTTCTCCATTACCCTCCCTTGTTCTCCATTACCCTCCCTTGTTCTCTTTTACCCACCCTTGTTCTCCATTAACCTCCCTTGTTCTCCTTTACCCACCCTTGTTCTCCATTACCCACCTTGTTCTTTTTTACCCACCCTTGTTCTCCATTACCCTCCCTTGTTCTCCTTTACCCACCCTTGTTCTCCATTACCCACCCTTGTTCTCCATTACCCTCCCTTGTTCTCCATTACCCTCCCTTGTTCTCCTTTACCCACCCTTGTTCTCCTTTACCCACCCTTGTTCTCCATTAACCTCCCTTGTTCTCCATTAACCTCCCTTGTTCTCCTTTACCCACCCTTGTTCTCCATTAACCTCCCTTGTTTTCCTTTACCCACCCTTGTTCTCCTTTACCCACCCTTGTTCTCCATTAACCTCCCTTGTTCTCCATTAACCTCCTTGTTCTCCTTTACCCACCCTTGTTCTCCATTACCCTCCCTTGTTCTCCTTTACCCAACCTTGTTCTCCATTACCCACCCTTGTTCTCCATTACCCACCCTTGTTCTCCATTAACCTCCCTTGTTTTCCTTACCCACCTTTGTTCTCCTTTACCCACCCTTGTTCTCCATTAACCTCCCTTGTTCTCCATTAACCTCCCTTGTTCTCCTTTACCCACCCTTGTTCTCCATTACCCTCCCTTGTTCTCCATTAACCTCCCTTGTTCTCCTTTACCCACCCTTGTTCTCCTTTACCTACCCTTGTTCTCCTTTACCCACCCTTGTTCTCCATTACCCTCCCTTGTTCTCCTTTACCCACCCTTGTTCTCCTTTACCCACCCTTGTTCTCCATTACCCACCCTTGTTCTCCATTACCCACCCTTGTTCTCCATTACCCACCCTTGTTCTCCATTACCCTCCCTTGTTCTCTTTTACCCACCCTTGTTCTCCATTAACCTCCCTTGTTCTCCTTTACCCACCCTTGTTCTCCATTACCCACCCTTGTTCTTTTTTACCCACCCTTGTTCTCCATTACCCTCCTTGTTCTCCTTTACCCACCCTTGTTCTCCATTACCCACCCTTGTTCTCCATTACCCTCCCTTGTTCTCCATTACCCTCCTTGTTCTCCTTTACCCACCCTTGTTCTCCTTTACCCACCCTTGTTCTCCATTAACCTCCCTTGTTCTCCATTAACCTCCCTTGTTCTCCTTTACCCACCCTTGTTCTCCATTAACCTCCCTTGTTTTCCTTTACCCACCCTTGTTCTCCTTTACCCACCCTTGTTCTCCATTAACCTCCCTTGTTCTCCATTAACCTCCCTTGTTCTCCTTTACCCACCCTTGTTCTCCATTACCCTCCCTTGTTCTCCTTTACCCAACCTTGTTCTCCATTACCCACCCTTGTTCTCCATTACCCACCCTTGTTCTCCATTAACCTCCCTTGTTTTCCTTTACCCACCTTTGTTCTCCTTTACCCACCCTTGTTCTCCATTAACCTCCCTTGTTCTCCATTAACCTCCCTTGTTCTCCTTTACCCACCCTTGTTCTCCATTACCCTCCCTTGTTCTCCATTAACCTCCCTTGTTCTCCTTTACCCACCCTTGTTCTCCTTTACCCACCCTTGTTCTCCATTAACCTCCCTTGTTCTCCTTTACCCACCCTTGTTCTCCATTAACCTCCTTGTTCTCCATTAACCTCCCTTGTTCTCCTTTACCCACCCTTGTTCTCCTTTACCCACCCTTGTTCTCCATTACCCACCCTTGTTCTCCAATACCCTCCCTTGTTCTCCCTCTACATTATCTACCATACTACTCTACCCACATTCCTTCACTATCTACCTGCCACTACAGGCAGTCACCAACAGTCTGAGTGATCAGTAACCGGACGGAGGATCGAGCCTACCCATCCCCATACGGGTTTGGAGCTTTAAACCAATTGCAGCTCTTGTCTCCACGTTGTTTTGAGATATATATATATATATATATATATATATATATATATATAATATATATATATATATATATATATATATATATATATATATATTCAACTAACACTATAATACCCTTAAGCTCTAAACCCATATGGGCCATACAGCTCATTTTGGAGTAAGAATTCTGATCCAAGGATAAACAAGGCTTTCAACTCCAATGCCTTGGATCAAGACTCAAGACCCTCGGACCTAGTCAACACACACACCTTAACAACCAAAGATATGTATTAATTTATATAGAAAATATTTTGTGTACATAGCAGTATATACATTTAAACACCAATGTCTATATTTTTATTATTGTAAGATGTTAAAAAGAGAACTAATAAAAATGTATATGATTTTTATTATGAATATCCTTTATTGATTATATATATATATATATATATATATATATATATATATATATATATATATATATATATATATATATAAATATATATATATATATATATTAAACTCATGGAGTGGGAAGAGTGACAGTAGTGGCCGGTGAAAAGACGGGGCCAAGAGCTGTGAATCGACCCCTGCAACCACAAACAGGTGAGTACAACTAGGCGAGTACACACACACATACACACGGTAGTGCTCCGCTTTACGGCGTTTAGTTAATATTCCACGTGACCGAAACTCACTATACAGCTTCCCTCACCTGACTTGTTAGCAGTCATCCCGCACTGTTGTTTACATCCTCTGTCATCACTGCTGTTTACAGCCTCTGTC